TTGAGATACTGTTTAAGAGCATTAATCTCTGACATATTATCACTTGTCACAATTAGATCATCAACATAAATGAGCACAACTAGTTTACCCACTGAGCTGGAATGAACAAATAGGGAAGAATCCGTAATACTTCAACAAAAACCAACCCTTTCCAGAACATGACTGAGCTTGGCATACCATGCACGTGGACTTTGCTTGAGACCATAAATGGATTTATGGAGTTTTCACACCATTTCTGGATTGTTTGATTGAGGATGACCTGGGGGTAACTTCATGTAAACCTCTTCTTCAAGTTCACCATGCAGGAAAGCATTTTTAACATCCATTTGAAAAAAAAGGCCATGCATTGTTAATTGCAACCGACAACAATACTCTAACAGTGTTCATTTTTGCCACTGGAGCAAATGTCTCTTTATAATCGACGCCATAGGTTTGTGTAAAACCTCGAGCAACCAAACGAGCCTTATTTCTTTCGATTGTGCTATCTGAATGAAACTTAGTTTTGTACACCCAACGACTCCCCACTGCCTTCTTTCCTTTTGGAAGTTTCATTATAGTCCATGTGTTATTTTCATGGAGGGCTTGAAGCTCATCTGCCATAGCATTTCTCCATTCACTGTGAAGATTGGCTTCTTGAAAACTTTGAGGTTCTCGAGCTTCATTAATGGCACTTAGGAATGTAGCAAAAAAAGATGAGACTTTGCTATAGTCAATAACATCAGTCACGGGATACCTAGCAGTGTAGGTCACATAATCATGCAACTTGGATGGAAGTTTCCTCTCTCGTGCAGGATTGCGACGAACTTTAGGAGATTGAACTACAGGTATTTGAACAACATCATGGTTGGAAGGATCACTGGAGGGTGCAGTGTGAATCTCCGATGAGGAAGGGGTTTCATCTTCAAGATGTTCCACCGAGTGAAGATTAACATTATCCGGCACATGATCACTAGGAGTGCATGTTGCATCTTCTCCGTTTGGATATGGAAAAGGAAATAAGTCCATCAAATGCTCCCCCTGTCTAGAATAATCCAGTGATTGTGAGAAGTGAGGAACATGTTCTTCAAATTTAACATCCCTTGAAACAACCATTTTTCTAGTTGTTGAATTATAGCACTTGTAACCTTTTTGGGTAAATGAATAACCTAGAAAGACACATTTGGTAGCCCTTGGGTCTAGCTTGTCACGATTTTGAGCTTGAATGTGAACAAAGCATGTACACCCAAAGACTCTCAAATGGGAAAAGTTGATCTTTCTATTTTTCAAGACCTCATAGAGTGATTTAAACTTCAACACTTTACTAGGCAATCTATTGATGAGATATGCCGTAGTAAGAACTCCTTGAGACCAAAACTTCGTAGGCACATTCATGTGAAACATAAGAGCTCTAGTCTTCTCAAGTAGATCTCTATTCTTCCTCTCGGCCACCCCATTTTGTTGAGGTGTTCCAACACAGCTTGTTTGGTGTAATATACCATGCGTGCTCAAGTAGTGTGACATGCTATAAGACATATATTCTGTGCCGTTATCTGATTGTAAAATATGAATTTTTGAAGCAAATTGGGTGGCCACAAGTCTATGAAAATCTTGAAAAACTTCCATGACTTCACTTTTAAATTTCAAAAGATACAACCAAGTAATCCTTGTGAAATCATCCACAAAAGTTACAAAATATTTGTATCCATCAAAAGACTCTAGAATTGGTCCCCAAACATCGGAATGCACGATTTCAAAAGGATTACTAGCCCTAGACAAAGAGGAAGTAAATGGTAATCTAGTAAACTTAGAAAAAATGATGAACATCACAAGGACTTGTAACTTTGCACATGTTTGGGAACAAGGTGGATAGAACTTTTTCAGAAGGATGTGCTAGACATTGGTGCCAAAGTTGTTGTTCTTGAGCTAAGCTTGAAGTGACTTGAAAAACCTTGGGAACTTGAATATGCTTGGAAAGATAGTAGAGACCATTTAAGAAAAATCCTTCACCAATCGTCTTCTTGGTGACTACATCCTGAAAGATCACATTTTTGGGAGAGAAAATGACAAGACAATTTAATGAGTTTGTGATCTTGCCAACATATAAAAGTTAAAAAGGGAATGAGGGAACATAAAGAGCCTCAGACTCGACATCACTTGAGATCAAATGTATTTTTCCTTTTCCCACAACCATAGCATTTTTTCCATTGGTAACTGGCACTTGAGATGGAAAAGAAAAATTTTCAAATTTATGCAAGTTTGTAGACTTGTTAGTCATATGATTAGTGGCTCCAGAATCTATAATCCAATAATCATGCACAATACCAATGTTGAAAGCAGTTGAGAATGAGTGTAAGATACTTGGGATGTCCCTTTATACCACGCCTTCATTTCCAGCCAGGAAGCCAGCAAACTACCCTAGTAGTGCAGTTTGATTGTTGTCACACTGATTTAGTGGTCCTTCACTATCTCCAAAACCTTGTTTCTTGTGAAGAAACATAGTAAACTCGTTGATCAGTGCAGCTGGATTAGTGGTGAACTTCAGTGCTCCCTCAGAAGAAGTTGTGGCAACATGATTTGCCTTGTAAGAAGGGTTGTACGAGCCTTTTGAGACACCTTTGTTATCCCTAGGAAACTTTGGTTTTAACTCTGGATGAAGAATCCAGTATCGGTCTCTTGAGTGCCCACCAACTTCATAATGGCTACATTTTAAGCCAGTTTTCTTTCCTTTGTAGCCTCTCTCCTCACCAAGTTTTTGGTTAGAGAAGTAAGCCATAGCTTCTGGTATATTTGCCTTTATGTCCAAGGTCATGACTTTCCTTCGAACCTCTTCTCTTTGAATTGTGGCACACACACTTGAAAAAGAAGGCAGGTCGGGATTCATGAGGATATGGCTTCGAAGATCTTCGAATTCAAAGCTCAGGCTTGCTAGGAGTTGGAATATTTTGTCTTCCTCGGCTCTCTTAGTTAGCACAGCAGCGTCGATAGTGTGTGGTCGATACATATTCAGCTCGTTCTACATAGTGGTCAACTTTCCAAGATGTTGCACAAATGGCTTCATTTCCTGTTGCAAACCAGCAATGTCCTTCTTTAACTGAAACACATGAGCCGCATTGTTCTGATTTCCATACATTTCCTTGAGATTTTTCCAAAAAGTCATGGACGATTCAGCATAGCTAAAAATTTATGCAATCTTACGATCCATGGAATTGAGTAGCCATGACATGACCAACTGGTCTTTGCATAGCCAAGCATCATACTCTGGTGAGGTAGTCTCAGGCATTGGAATAGCACCATTAACATAACCAAGCTTTAATCGTCCTCCCAGAGCAAGAGAAACTGCTCTCTCCCATGGAAGATAGTTAAACTCATTTAGCAAAACAGAACTAAGACGTTGATTTGGGTTGATATTAATATCTGAGTGTGGTGATGGTGGAGTAGCATGAAAGCCGTCTCTTTCCAAATTTATTGAGCTTTCTTCAGCCATGATTGAAGGACAAAAATAAGCTCACAACTCTCTCAAGAGAACACCACAGAGACAGGTCGGTTGGGGTCACTGCTCTGATACCATATTGAATTTTGTGAATTCATCATGAGACAATCAGGTACAAGAGATACCAAATATATATGTGTTAGAGGGAAGAAAACAAGACTACCTATCCCTTCTTGATTTACGTCTAAAGCTAACAAAAAAAGAACAAATAAGACACATCCCTTGAATTAAAGGAATTGACAACAAGAGACACATCCCTTGAATTAAGGGAATTGACAACACTATCTATCACCCTAAAATCCTTTGTACGGTGAACATGCAACCTAACCTAACCATAGTTGCCATTCTTTCTTTTAATAGATTGAGACTGCTTTTAATTGAGGTCATTAGCTGAGACCACCCCATCCCACTAGGGGAAGGTCCTACTGGAGAAGAACCCACACCAGACCTCCAGCACAAATTACACCTGGATCCCAAATTAATTTGTGTGTGTGTGTGTGTGTATTAGCTCTTCAAGATTTCTAGGCCTTCAACATTTGTATATATTTATTTGAACTTCTCAAAACGTCTTATATTAAAGTTTCTCAACCTAAAAAACAAGAGTAAATTGTAACAATGATCTATTAATTTTAACTCAATTGGAGCAATGATCCCTAAACTAAAAATCCATTACCATTGTCCCTCAACTCATCAAAATGTGTAGCTATGATTTTTCAACTAAAAATTGACTACCATTGATTCTTCAACTTTAATTCAATTGGAGAAACGATCCTTCAACTTTAACCCAATTGGATCAATGGTCCCTCAACTTTAACCCAATTGTAGCAATGATCCTTCTAACATAACTCATTTTAACAAAATTCTAACGAAGTTGATGAAAATGATCATAGGCACACATTTTGATGAGTTGAGGGAACCCAATTGTAGCAATGATCATTCCAACATAAGTTATTTTAACAAAATTTTGACGAAGTTGACGAAAATGATCATACCCACACATTTTGATGAGTTGAAGGACCAATGGTAATTGATTTTTAGTTGAGAGACCATTGCTCTAATTGAGTTAAAGTTAAGAGACCATTGCTACAATTTACTCAAAAAACAATTAGAGGGCTGAGTAATCAAGTATTTTGATAGCAGTCCAAAACGCATATTTCCCTTTTATCCTGTTTAAAAAAATGGCATAGGGAAAAGTCAGTAGTGTCCTACCGATCCATCCCTTTTAGGGGCGTTTAGTATTTGGATTTTGTTTTGTTTGTTTTTATTTCCCTTGTCATAACACCAAATTATTGTCTTCAATTGCATATTGTCATTTAGATTTTAAGTTATTAGTTATTTCCAAAAGAAAGAGAATAATGAAGTTTTCAATACATACGATATTATCTACACTAAGAGATGAAGAAGTGAGATAACCTCATAATGGGCTAACCATAGTAATATGGTTCAAATCCGCCGTTGTTAAGAATCGAACTTATAAACTCTCATTTACAAGTAAAAAGGAAATATCACTGGATCATATACTAAGTGGCTTAAATTTTGAATTCATCTCTCAATTTATGCATGTCATCCTTGCACAAAGGTCATGGCGGTAATCATCTCTGTATTGCTCCAATTGTCAAATGAAGTTTTTTCCATTTTTTAATATTTTTTTTATAAAGGGATATTCTAGGATTTAGGGTTTCTTTATGAGATGCTTCTCGAAAGGAGTTAAATTTTGGTTATATTAATTGAGTTCCAAAGATCTTTAGCATTTTTTTTTCCTTCTACTTTTAAGAATTTTAACCACTCGAAGCATCTCTAGAGGAGTTGGAGCATTGCTTGAGGCGTGTTGAGAATGCTTATAAACTACTTAAAGACCTCAAGAGAGGTTTGAGCACTCCTCAAGACATGTTGAAAGTGCTCATAACTCCTTAGAGAAGCCACGAGTGACTATATTTCAAAATCTTGAAAAGTGGTCACGAATTGCTAAACAAAAAATGTGGAAGCTTTAGGTCATCTCCAACCGAAGGCTGGACAAATGACTCTTTTTAGCCCTCTAATCCTTTAAGAAATTAATATTTTAATGAACAATGCATGACCATATTTCTTAGACCATCTTCAACCAAAGGGTCCAGAAGGCCGAAAATAGCCTGTAAATCGTTTCCAACCGAGGGATAGACCAAATGGCTCGTTGGCCCCATGGGACAAAAACGGGCCAGAGGGCCAATCGGTTGGCCATCTTCAGCTAGTCAGCCAGCCCGTTGGCTAACCCATTTTGTTTTTTTTTTTTTCCACTTGCCCAAACCAATCTTTTTTTATTATTATTTTTATTTTATTTTATTTTATTTTGTTGTTCTTTCAGGCCACTTTAGGTTTAGTGGTTAGGAACTTTTTTGGTCAAAGCCCACTTATTTATTTATTTTTTAATAGCCCACTTTTTTCACCATTTCATACTGTCTTACCTTATTTTATTTCAATTCTTCACATTCCATACTATAGCCAATTGGCCCTCAGTTGGAGATGGTTTTTTGTGACAGGACTAAAATGAGTCATCTGGCTTTTTGGCTCTCGGTTGGAGATGGAGGCAAATATAGCTATGTACTGTTTATTAAAATATTAATATCTTGAAGGCCAGAGGGCTAAAACGAGCCCTATGACCCTCGGTTGGAGATGGCCGGAGATGGTAAGGCCATCTCCAACCGAAGGCTGGCCAAATGGCTTGTTTTAGCCCTGTCACAAAAAATCATCTCCAACCGAGTGCCAAACATAATTTATTATTTAAAAACTACAACTTAAATTCAAATCCAATGGCTAAGTTTCATGTTGTTAAATGTTTTACTTTTATGTTGTTTAATGTTATTTAATGTTGTTTAATGTTACTTAATGTTATGTAATGTTTAATGATTTAGGAAGTTATAGGGGAAAAAAAAGAATTTTTACAATTTTAAAAACAAATTTAGTTAAAAAATAAATAAATAAAAATTAAAAATAATGGCTAGCTGACATCAGCAACTAGATGTTGCAATTTGAATTTTAGCCTGGCCCGAGGTCGGCTAGCTGGTTTGGGCTAGTCGGTTGGCCCTTTGACATTTTTTTGTCTAATAGGGCCCACAAACCCTTTGGCCTGGCCCTCGGTTTGAAACCGTTTTCAAGCTATTTTTGACTCTCTGACTCTCTAGATCATTCGGTTGGAGATGACCATAGTAACAAGCCCTAAGGCCATCTCGAATGGGTTGGCCATATTTTGCAACGGGAGAGGATCCTATCCGGATCCTCCTTCTTCTTCTTTCTTTTCTGCAGTTTTGTTTCTACTGCTGCTGGTTCTTCAATTCTTCTCCTTCAATAATCCTTCTCCTTCACTCCTGGGTCTTCTTCTTCACTTTTTTTTGTATGTTTATAGGAAACTTCTACATGGTCAGTTTTATATAGAATCGCGATTGTCGACAACTATTACGATGTTGCCGGTAACTAGCTCCGAAAAACCTACAACGCTGATTCCGAGAAAGCCACGACGCCAATACGACCTTTAAAGAAGAAGGATCCGGAGAGTTTGGGTCCGGACTCTTGCAACCACTCTAGTATACTAAAATATATAATTTTTTAAGAAATAGTGCAAATATAATTTTCCATCTTCAATAGTGCATGCAGTTAGTAGTTACATTTTATTCCTCTCAATATTTTATTACTTTTTAGCCTATTAAGATATATTATGGTACACACTCACACATCAACTACTTTGTTTTATTTAAATTAATTATAAACTACTATTTGCTTTTTTTTTCTGAAGCGGGCCAAATGTAGCAAGCCTTCAATGATTTGGCCCTAAACTATTTTGGGTACATTTTATAGCACCCAATTAAGGATGAGTTCAGAGAATATAAAAGGCTAATCAGAGAATATAAACTTATTTTCATTAATTTTCCTTATATTAAATCTGCAATTATACGTGAAATCAACAGGCCCTTACAAGTATTATTAAACACATACAACCCCATCACCACACAAATTCACACCATACAAATTAATCATAAACAAAAATTACATCCTCCAAACAAAAAAGCAAATTAATCAGACAAATTATGTTCTCTAATTAAGCTCTGCAGCACACGAAACGTCCAAGTCCTTTGGAAGCATGTCCTTCATCATCCCCAGAGATCTCAACCTTCTTATGCTTGTGTTTCTTCTTCAAGTCCTCCTTAGGCACTGTAATTACCAACACCCCGTCGCGCATTGAAGCCTTAATCTCATCAACCTTGACATTTTCAGGCAACCTGAAATTCCTCGAGAAGTTGCCACTTTCCCTCTCCCTGCAGTGCCACGTCTCGTTCTTGGGGTCCTCCATTTCGGGCTCCGCTTTTCTCTCTGCACTAACATGAAGCACTTGGTTTTCTTGCAGCTCCAGCTTCACGTCCTCTTTTGTAAGGCCTGGAAGATCTATCTCGAAGATGTGTGCATTTGAAGTCTCCTTCCAGTCCATGTACGTGTTGTTTTGGTTGGATATTTCTGGGTCGAAAACTTTGAAAGGAGCAAAGTTGGGTTGGTCCAAGAGAGATTGTAATAAAAGGGACATTTTTAGAGATTTGGATGAAAAAAGCTATTAATTTGCGTTCTTGTTTTAGTTAAGGATGGTGGTTTTGCAGATTTTGCTAAGTGAGGGTTTTGGCGAATTGTTTGATGAGTATTTATATCTGAAGGGAATAGGAGACGGTAATTTTCTTGAAGGTTCTGGAGTTGAATAGTCTTTGGCTTCTCCTAGAGAATTTGATGATATTGGTTTTGATGCTTGGACTTTGTTGGGTCCATTTCGTTAAGTGCTTTTTCAGCTAACGGATAAGCATGAAGTCAATGTTGGAGAACTCTCTGGGAGAACCTCGAAATGGTTTCTAGAAGTTTTCAAGCTCCAATTGATACTTCTCTATAAAGCATTTCTGCTTACAAACGGTTTTCTTTTCAAAAGCACATTGAAATTTTTAATAAAAATCTTATAAAATATTGTACAATCTATAAGCATTATAGACTTCGTATGCCTCAATATTATCAAAAGCACTTTTGATTATCTAAATCAAAAAGCACTATATGAAATTTGTGCAAGAGTCAAGTGCAAGAATGAATATTTTTAGTCACTTCAAGATGTAAGTTTGTCTTTAATTACAACCCCAATGAGAATTGGTCACTTTAACAAATAAGTTAGCCTTTAATTACAACGAGAAATGGTTCACATGTGTAAGAAATTAATTTAACGTTGATATTGGTTCAAACTTAATCATATATTCAACATTTTGGGTGACTTTAGCCGCAACGAACTCATCAATATATGAAGTTTTTTCTAAACAACCTGGGCGTGGGTGCTATTAGTATTTAACACCAACTTCTAACTTGTAGATTATTGTGGTATTTTTGAAGAAGAGATTATGTCCATCCACAGCAGCAGCCTGGACCGAGCCACACAACCCTTAGTCCCCGACAATCTTATGAATCTTCATGATTTTACAACCAGATCGAAGATGGTCATCCTCTCAAATATGTATGGGCTTAGTAGTTTCTTAAGGCCTCCACATCTGACCTAATTTTGATCAGCCCATGCACAGCCTAGAAAAAGAGTTCTTAGGCCTCCACATCTGACCTAATTTTGATCAGCCCACGCACAGCCTTACAAAAAAAAGTTCAGATTCAAAACATTTTTCAGGGTTTGAAAACAAAAAGCTCACTATTTAGGGGCATGTGTGGGATTATCCTGCAGAGTTCCCAACCTAGCCAATAATATTCGATGAAAATGACCAATTTATTCTATTTAACTCCTAAATCATGACTTCAGAGTTTAGACCAAAGCGAAATGGAAAATCCTAAACCATGATCAGAAACGCGTATAATACATGAAAAAACAAAATGGTACTCGAAAAATTCCTAATCATGCTTCCAATGCACGTTAATCTTTTTGAATTAGTACGTACTCATCATCTCTCTCCAATAATGCCGATGTATAATTGTAACAAAAATAAAAACAAAATGTACCAAATATAATGTGTTTCACGTACACAGGTACATATATTGATATAATTATTGTACCTCAATTTCATATAAACGTTTTGTTCTTGGTGTTAGGAATGTCGGTACTACAAGATAGAGAATGCACAAGGTAAAGTAGAAAATGCACGCCAAGAATTTATGTGGTTCGGCAATTTATGCCTACGTCCACCAAACAAGGAATCTTCACTATATGAAAAAGATGAATACAACAAGAGTAGTCTTACCAAGCCAAAGACAAGGCTTGATGGATACAAGAAAGTATAACACACACTTTCTATCACTCTAAACTTCACTCACACAATGTGTAGTGGAACACTCTCACTCTCACTCTTGGAGTGGAACTCTAGCTTTGGACTTGATCATTTGCTACTCACTCTTAGTTCTCAATTGGTTACATCACACCCATATTTATAGTTGAGGGCTTGGCATTCTACTAGTTTCTAGTTCCTTCTTCAAACCTCTAGTATAGAAAAATCTAGACTAGCCACATACTTGTAGCTTCTAGATCTTTCCATTTGCAACCAAGGAAGCTAGTACTCTCTAGCTTCTTCCATCAACTTAATAACATGCTAGAATTGTCTAGCAAGCTCCAGCCTCATCTCTTGCTTACTAGAATAATCTAGAACATTGATCATGGGCTGGACCATATACCAACACTTGGATCATGAATTTATGCGTTAGACTAAATAAGAGAACTAAGATCAAGGCATGATTCACAATACAATAAGACACAAAAGCATAATCCAAGTATGAAGAGCACCTGCAGTCGAAGCCATAGCAGCAAAACTCTCAGTGAACCTTCTCCTCTCTCACCGAAAGTCAAATGCTTGACTCACAATAAGTTTAAGTCCAATAATGAGCGTAATATATGCAAAAGCAGCGTCCACTATATATAGATATACAATTCTTGCCAAAACCAATAAGAATTCCGTATTAAATCCATATAGGAAACTGAATGTGTTCCCTTATCTATTGGGAAATCAATTCCAATGCTATAATACAATCCAATTTGAATAAGGACTAGCTCTCCTCTTTCAGCGAGATTTTTCTATACCAATTGAATCCAATATAGTTGGCCTAAAACTCTTCAATCTCATACTCATTTTCTTACATTATGATCATGAACCGTGCCAACAAAAAACAAGGTAAATTATATCCTTTTTGTTCCCATGGTTTCATGTCCACTAGTGCCCTAACCTGCACGTCTTTAATGCAAGTTCAAATATTCCCCACCCATTTGGTCCGTACAATAGTGCAAAATCATATAAAAATCCTCTCATGCAGGGTTTTGGCCGTGAAATGGAGTTTTCTTTTCCAAGAATTCAAACAAAAGTCATCATCTCTGCCACGAATATGATTTTCTGTGCAAGTGAATGTGTCAGAAAGTGCTTCACATTTTCCATATCTGCAAATGCATATATGCTTGTTATGTGATGTCCTTGAAGCTTCTCGTAGTGGCGGTGAATACAACAAAAAGGCAAAACCCTAGACACATCCTTAACCAGATTTTAGGTTTAATATTTTAAGCACACATGAGCTTCATAATTGCGTTTTCAAAATTCCCTCTAAATCTCTAATTTTTTTCAACAGTATTCCCAATATTTATTTTAAGTTAAATATAACCCAGAAGGCGGACAGATATTTATTATTTAAGAGTAATATGACTAGTAAACTAAATCTGGTGTATTTTGCATATATAAGCTTAAATAAGTTGACTAGGGTAGTGTGTTTGCTCGTTTGAACTCGAATTTTAATCTCTCTCCGCATTTTAATGTAGTTTAGTGTACAACATCGCTTATATATATGGAAATTTTGAAGTCTTTTGTATCTACACAATGTGATTAATTAGTAAAGATGATTCCAAATAGGTTGCCAAGTTTGACATAAAAAGAAATGATTAATCAAATTAAATTAAAACCACAAGGCATATAGATTTTTTTTTCATTATAACGTGTCTACCAAATTAAATCTGATGTTTTTCATCTCTACAAAATGTGATTAACTAGTAAAGATGATTCCAAAGAGGTTGAATGATGAAGTATCCACTAGGTCTGACCATATGCTCGTTTGAAAAAGCAAAATAATGAAAGTAGAATACTCATCGATTCAATCTCAACGATTTAACAAATTATTGAAGGGAAAACGTACAATCCGAATTGGATGATTCCAAAGGGAAGGCTCTAGGAAATAACTAAAAAAAAGAAGAATACAAAGATGAAGTAGAAGTAGACACACGGGGTTGTATAATGGAAGTTGTCAGATGATTGATTTTGCCTGTTTTTGTCTGTGGAGAAGAGAACTAATTATTGCTTAAACGTCGGTTTTGTATCACATGGGATGTCTCACTGGTGTGATATTATAGCTGAAATAGATTATGGTTTGGTAGGTTAGAACTTAAAATAACAGTTTAAATTATCGTTGTAAGATGAGAAGAGGAGTCGAGAAAGGTTGTTGGCATTCATGAATTTGTAAAGTATTCACTATTAAAGTGATTAGAATCTTGCTTGTTAACACAATTTTCTTCTGGGCATATATGTTAAATTGTAATTTTGTGTAAAAAAATAACGGGTCCTTACTAAAAAAGAAAATATATCATTGTCAAACTATAATTTGTCTGTTAAAATAAAAGTAATTCAATAAATTATCAAATCAATTATAATCAATTACCCAGAAAATTCATGTGGTGAGAGGTGTGATTTGTAGATAGACATTAGACAAGGGTTTGGTCCACACCAACCCCATTTCCAAATACAAATTAGAATGTTAAAATGAGATGAATAGGAAAAGTTAGATGCTTGCTATCTGTTCTTTAAGGATAGGGTTTGTAACTTATAACACCCCATGTAGGTAGGTGTTCTTTTTCCATGTGACATGTTTTTGTGTACCCAATTAGACTTGACCACTAGCCTAATGGGTTAAAAAGTTTACAGTGATTTGGTGATTAATAATACCCAGTTAACATTGCTCAAGATGATATTATTATCAGTTCAGTTGTGAGAGCAACTTACCAAAACTCGAAATATTACTGTGATGATATTAGTTCTAAATCAATCATGTACTGTGTTTATCAATTATCATATAACAACGCGTTATTAGTTTGGATATTCCAAATATAGGTAAGTCAGTTCTCATCAATTAGGCCAAGAGCAATAAATTCTAAGATATCAAAAATGCTTCTGCAGTTCCAAGTTTTCAAATCTGAATCCAGCTGACTTTTGGGACTAAAGCAAAGTTTCTTATGCTCTCTGCAGGCCCTGTGAGTCTGTGACTTTGTAAAAGTCTGGGAGGATAGAAAAGCTTAGGCTACAAAATTAAGGGTCCGCAACCCATCAATGAGGCTTGACAAGTCTTATGGTAGCTCGAGTACAAATCTCAATTGCTCATGACTTCACAAAACACTACATGTACTAGATGACACATGTCATCCGCTCAATGTACACAAGGTGCAAAGATCCCAAAACAGTTTTTCTGCACTGTGATGACAGCACCATATCTTAGAGACCATGCTTTAGATTAGCTATAATATCTGCTTGAGCTGGAACCACATCCAGCAAACATTAGAGGAGAAATATTGTATGAAATGACTCAATTTAATGAGTCATGAACTCTTTTAGCATGTGAAAAGATTAAGTACTCCGACTCGAGGGAATGGTCGAACATAGGAGCATTTTGGTCCGAAATGACCAAATAGTTAGAATAGTTTAACATTAGGTTCCACAATAAAAAAAAGTTGATCACTCCATAAAGGAGTCATTATTGATGTAATTCCCTAATATTTATCACTAATATGGTTGAAATATGCAGGTCCAATATGTTTACATAACATTTGTGTGTAAAACCTTGGTAGGGTATGGTTATTCCTTTCTTCATGTACATTATTTTGTTAGTTCATCCCTTCTTGCAGATGTTCAAAAGCCCATATTCCAGGCTGCAAGTATCATTTCGGCATTTTCTATACAAAAGAAACAAAACGAATTGGAAAAAGGAAAAAAAAAAAAAAAGAGATCAAAGAAAGAAAAGGTATCAAGAGCTTCACTGGATAATGACCTAATTGGAAACAAAAGCAGCCCAGTTTGTTTGGAAAGTATGTGTGAGAAACCTATTGATTACATAAAGATATCAGTTAATAAAATGGTGTTACATGTGTAAGTTCAGAAAGGTCTTGTATGGACTTCTAATATCTTTCATTTGATTAGTTCAATTACTAGATCCGAACCACAGTGACCTTGTGCTTACTCAAAAGGGCCGTTAGGTTTTGATTATAAAATAATCACTCTCTACATTACTTTGAACAATGCTCGGCTCCTTACACGTAATGTAACCTACATTATTTTGAATACTACTTGACTATGTACACGTATACAAAAATAACTCATTACAATACAACAACAACAACAAAGCCTTATCCCACTAAGTGGGTCGGCTATATGAATCCTAAAACGTCACTACACTCGTTTTCCGCCAAATCTTCCGTTAGCTCCAAGTACTCATTATCTTTTCTTAAAGTTTCATTCCAAGTCTTTCTAGATCTTTCTCTACCCCTATTGCCTTGAGTCTTTGTCTCATGAACGCATTTTTTAACTGGAGCATTTGTAGTTCTTCAATTCACACTTGTAACACATAAAAGTCGAGTATTTTCACATTGGCTTCAACTCAACAAAAAAATATTTGAGAGAGAATGAGAGATTCCGTCCAGCTAAAAAGAGGGTATCAATAATTGGTCTTTCACTTGCATTGTTACCTTCCTTGTCCACCACTCAAGCTTTAAGTTCTGGCATATCACAGAAGAATATATCCAAAAATCATCTGTAAAGTTGGAAGAGGGGGAAGTCCCAAGTGAAAAAAAACATGGTGGCTTTCAGCACATAGTCCCATAATTCTCCCACCCAACAAATCCCCATTTCAATTTCAATTTGATTCTCTTCCTATGCAATAAATCATTAAACAAATTATAATATTAACAATAATTAGTAGGAAACAATCCCAAATGGCCAAGTAAGTAGGCAGGCCCCAACCTCCCCATGTTACACAACTTCCTCTTTTACCTGTCTCCCCTTCCTCTCCTTTTATAAAATCCCCATTCCCTCCCTTTCCCCCTCCTTCACTCCCACACCACCTCCTCCATTGATCTCTTCCCTTCTGCACATTATTGAGCCAAATTTTCCTCAAAACCCTAGACTCCTTATCCTTCTTCTAGCTATTTGCATTTCCAAACCCAAAATACATACATATATAAACATAAGAAATTATGTGCAGCTCAAAGGCCAAGGTGACCTTAGGGATTGAAGTCACACCCATTGTGGCTAGAATCAATGGCAGGCCAGTCCTTCAGCCTAATTGCAACCGGGTTCCTAGCCTAGACCGGCGTGGTTCGATTAAGAGAATATCGACGCCACCACCACCTCCACTACCATTGCCAGCTTCTTCTGCTAGTACAAGTCCTAGAACTACCAACAAGGCCTCACCATTGTTAACACCTCCCATTTCTCCAAAATCGAAGTCTCCACGGCCACCAGCAATCAAGAGAGGAAATGACCCTAATGCGTTGAATTCGAGTTCGGAAAAAGTTGTGACACCAGGAGGTACCACAAGAGCTAAGACATTGGAGAGGAAGAAGTCCAAGAGTTTTAAGCGGGCTAGCGTTGGTGTTGATGTTGGTGCTGATCATGGCCGCTTTAGTAATGGTGGATTTTCTCCTTCAAATATCGAGGCGTCGTTGAGTTATTCGTCTTCTTTGATCATTGAGGCACCTGGCAGCATTGCTGCTGGGAGGAGGGAGCAGATGGCGCTTCAACATGCACAGAGAAAGATGAGAATTGCGCATTACGGTAGGTCAAAGTCTGCCAACTTTGAGAGGGTTGTCCCTGTTGATGCTTCTAGTAATGTAGAAGCCAAGGCAGCTGAAGAAGAGAAAAGGTGCAGCTTTATCACGGCTAACTCAGGTAAAATTATACTCAATTATATTATTGGACTCAATTTGTGAAATGTAAATTATAAGTAATGTTTGTTAACTGATTATTAATTGTTTTATTTTAATTTTATTTTATGCTCAGATCCCATCTATGTTGCTTACCATGATGAAGAATGGGGAGTTCCTGTCCATGATGACAAGTAAGTCCAATTGAGCATCTTTTGCACAAAAAAAATAAAAATTTAAGAGGTGTATATAACGTTTATCTCAAAATAACTGATCACGTAAGCAACAAATTAGGGTGAAAAAGAGATTTATAAAGTAATCATTTGTTTTATTTTTTTTTACTCATTTGGTTTCAATTTATTCATGTTGCAGGATGTTGTTTGAACTCCTTGTGTTAAGTGGAGCTCAAGTTGGCTCAGATTGGACTTCCATTTTAAAGAAACGTCAAGATTTCAGGTGAGCCTTTGTAGTCATTTATTTTTTCTAATAAAAACAATTGACAAGTATATATAATGATACTCACACAATAACTGATCACTTAACAATTAAAGTGAAAGCAAGAACGATCAAGTAGTAGTCATTTGTTGTTGTTTATTTTACTATCCTGCTTATTTTTACTAATTAAGCCGATGGGATCAAACATGTGTGTTTCTAAGAAATTGCATTTATATATTCCATCGCTGCAGGAATGCATTTTCAGGATTTGATGCAGAAACTGTGGCAAATTTAAGTGAGAAACAGATGATGTCAATTGCTTCTGAATATGGCATTGAAATCAGCAGGATCCGAGGAGTTGTAGACAACTCTAACAGGATTCTTGAGGTAAATACTATCAAAACCTGCAGTTTCTTGTTTTTTGTCCTCTTATCAAATCTTTTCCATCTATTCTGTCCCCTTCTTTTAAGGACCTTTTTTCTTCTTCTCATCAATGATCACGCCTTCTTTTCATGGACTTGTTAAAGAAACATTTTGATTAGTTTGAGAAACCCATTAAAATAATGTAATATTATTAAAGAGAATATTAACTTAACCATCATTAACATCTTAATTAATCTATTTTTTTTTTGGTAGAATCTTAATTAATCTATTTTTTTTTTTGGGTAGAATCTTAATTAATCTATTATTCTTTTTGGGTTAAAGCATAATCTATGATTCTTTTTTTCTATTGTTTGATGGAAAGCTTGACCGGTGAGCTCCAACTGTGATGCAATGCATGATGTTTGCATTATATAATTATTATTGAGTCATTGACGTTTCAAAATAATTATATGTATTTATCTCTCAGTTGTAGAGTATTATCTTGGATCGTTAATAACAATTTTTTTTTCTGAAAATATTACATATAGTATCCCTTTTTAATTTAGCACTTGGAAAAGTAATATCGTTTGGTTTAGCAGCAGTACTTATGTGTTGTATTTATACTAATAAACTCATTTTTTGTATAATTTCTTGCAGATTAAGAAGGAATTTGGATCATTTGACAAGTACATCTGGGGATTTGTCAATCAAAAGCCCATCTCACCACAGTATAAATTAGGCTACAAAATCCCAGTGAAAACTTCAAAATCAGAGTCGATTAGCAAAGACATGGTTCGGAGGGGATTTAGGTTTGTGGGTCCAACAGTCGTTCATTCATTCATGCAAGCCTCAGGCCTCACGAACGACCATCTGATCACTTGCCACAGGCACCTCCAATGCACCTTATTGGCAGCCCGCCGCCCGGCATTGGAAGAATTTCTGTAGAATTATTGACATCAAAGGGAGAAAAAGAAGAAGGAGAAGAAAGTCATGGACAAAATTTATAACCCTAGTGTGTTCGATGCTCAAAATATTAGAGAAGCGTGTGCATATAGTTTGCTAACTATATCTCAGAAAAACAAAAAAGTAGTTACTTTTGATGGTTGTGAGTTGTGTGTATAATATAGATTAGAGGAAAGAATTGTGACTAGATGTGAGATTTTAATTAGGGTTTGAAATGCGTCCACAGCCAAAATTTGCGATCAACATCGAAAATGTATCAAACGGTTAGTTTTCACGTATAGATGATTGATTGTAGTATTCTTAATTTCTTTTAATTAATGGGTTTGAAGTAGACAGATGAGTTTGATAATTGAAGACAAAGGAAAGGTTTGGGATGGAGGGAGGTGGTGGTGGTGTAGTGGAAGCTCAAGAAGGAGACAGACATCATGTGCATATGCATTTGGGAGGCAAGGCATGTGTTGGATGTCAGTTTTTGCTTTTGAATTCCTTTAACAGGCTGTGTCCTGTGTGGGATACTACCATTATGTGTATCTCTCAACCGCTTTGTTAATTGAGTTGTTAGTGTATTTTTCTAACTTTTTTTTTCCTTTTTGCTTTGGGGAAATATTATACCGCCATTGTATTCTTGGATTTGATGTGAGAGGTTTTGAGTGTTTTTCAATCAAATGGCATGTGCTTCTGTTCTGATTGCTGCATAGTGACTTATATATACCCCTTTTTAAAATGTTTATTAACTAAATAAGTTATATATCTTCTCTGCCTATCAATTTCTAAAAAGGATTGCTTGACATTTTTAAGGGCATTTTGCACAGTGGTTGGGGGTGTTCAAGTGCAATAATTGAGAGGATATGATGAAGTTGTATATATGTTTACACAAAGTAGAGGGCCTCATTTGATTAGTGTTGACAAAGGAATTATATAGTGGACCTTAATATTTCTGTCCCACAATGAAATTTTTTTTGTAGAGCCATCGGTTTTGTACTTTTTATCTTTATTTTTATACAAGTAATATTTTATTGTTATGAAGTTAGACTAAGAAGAGTGAGAATGGTTTGAACGAGGAATAAAATGGGTTAGAGAATAATACTTTGTAGGTGGTGATATTCACACATTTATTTTACTTTTCACACATAATTTGTTATTTTTTTCTTTATCTTCTTTAATTCATTTGATTCGACAGCCATAAATTGTAAAAAGTGTATAAAAAGTAAAAAAATGGATAGCACCAACCTACTTTATCCACCATGGCATCACCACTGGCAAAATTTGCACTTGAGGAAAAAATAAAGTTGTTTGTAGTATGTGGTAAATGTTCAAGTGAAATAGTGAGGGAAGTGAAGGAAAGAGGACAAGCAATTTCTAAGCAATAAGTCTCCTTTTCTTAGAATTCTATTACTTCACTTTGCCGTTGGCTTCTCTCTCAGAATTCGAGTTGTTTTGGTGTTGCAGGTGTGTGAGGAAGAGCGATAAATATTCAATTGAGGCCCAGGAGACCCAGGTTTTGAAAGAAATAGTACGATTGTCACATCTCAGTTTCGGCTCCGTCGTAGCACGATATTGTTCGTTTTGAGTTCCGGCCACGCCCTCACGGTTTTGTTTCTGGGAACTTAGACGAGAACTTTCCAGTGGGCCACCCATCTTGGGAATGCTCTTGCCCGAACTCGCTTAACTTCGGAGTTCCAATGGAATCCGAAGCCAGTGAGTCCCCAAAAGGCCTCGTGCTATAGAAGGTGGGCATGTACATATAAGGCACATCACCCCATCTTTGTTGATTGATGTGGGATATTAAAACGATCTCGACCATTCAAATCTGAATTGCTAATTACTGCAAATTTAAGTTATTGTAAAAACCATGTCTATTCCAAAATGGTTTTGGCAATTCATAACAAAAAGACCGGAAAACAAATTCCTTATCAAGCTAGAAGCAAACTAAAGGTATACCTATTATTCTTGTAAACAAAGGAGCTCCACCCGAGGAGGGGGGATTTCTCACCTGCAGGAACGAGAAACATAAGCAAGCTACGTGATGCGCACATAAATTTTAGTTAAAGGAAAGAATATAAAAGGAAGTAAATAAATTATAATTCTTTAAAAGAGTATCTCCAACAACGGACCAGTTAAAATAAAATACCTCTGACTCTGAGGTCATCATTTCTCGGTTGCAAAGAAAAAGATCATACTTATGCACCTTAATTTGACTGGTGTTCTCAAAGTTTAACCTTTCCTTCGATTGCAGGTGCAAAACCCCCATGGCCTGCCACTGTTCTTACGGCAGAGGCAGAAGCTCTGTCCCCTTGCATGAAGGGAGCTACGTGCCAATTTAACATGCGCTTAGGGCCACGTTTAAGAGTGCAAATGCAAGCGGAATCAATGTTTGAAATGCTTAGTTAGTCGAGGAGTGCTACAAAAAATCTTGATACATAAATTGTCATATACTCATTTAAAATCCTGATTAAACCACTGCATGAATTTTTAAAGGGTTTTTAAAATCCTTTAAAATTTTAATTGAATAAAAATAAGGGAGTTTTAATGAAACACTTATAGTACTGTTTACTTCAACAAAAAATGACAATTTTACTCTAAAAAGTCACTCCTACTATTCACTTACAACACTTTTTTGTCATTTTGATTTAAACTCAAAATTTTCAAGCCATTTTTATTAGTTTTCCTTAAAAATAATAAAACGAGAACAAAATTGTAATTACGCATAGGGTGCTGATAAATCCATCCCATTGTCTTATTTTTCCATCCACATTTTAGTATAAATTTTAATGCCAATTCTACCCTCATAAAATGACATGTAAGGACCAAAACAAAAATGTACTGCAGATTGCCAATTTCCTTATGCCCACTACACATTGCCAAATTGCCCATTTCCTTATGCCCGTTCACCATCTATGTAAAAGAAAAAAAAGTTCTTCTCTCTTTGAATTTAATTATTGTGCCTTTCTAGGATGAAATCCTGTCTCTTGTAAACAAATATTTCTACTTCCATTTTTTCTTTCTCCAAAACCCGAATTCCAGGGATCTAATCAAAACGAACCAACCGATCATATGTCACCTATCACTGCTTCATAACATCCATAACTTTAAACTCTATGTCCTCCTAGCCCCTTCTTTGGTTCTAATCCCAACCCAAACCTGACATCCCTTCTCTCTCATTTCCCTTCTTTCTAAAACTTTAAATACATAACCCACTCATTGAATTCCATTGCAATACTTGAAATTCATAGGAAAATAAAATATCTAGATTATGTAGGGAACAAGAAGATGGGTGGTGAGGCAGTTTTGTTGCCATGGTGGTGTTCCGATGGTTGGGGGACTTGGGTTGGGTGTTGGGAGTTGGTGCGGCACTCCAACCGAGGAGGGAGGAGGGAGGAGGGAGGAGGGAGGAGGGAGTAGGGGTGAGAAAAGAGTGCTTTCTTCTTTTAACACTTTTGGTGGGTGAAAAAATAAAATAGGTTGGAAAAATAAGACAATGAGATGGTAATATCACTCTTACGCATATCTGGAAAAAACAAAAATCAAAATTAAAAACAAGACCACATCTATGAGTGAAGCAAACTCTATGTTGGGCCTGCCCGAAATATAATCACAGATTTTGATGGGCTGAAGAGGGTCTACAATAAGCCCGGGTCTCCTTCTCCAATAAGATCCATCCGAACCAGCCCAGGTTCCGGTCCAATAACGGAAACAAACCAGGGTCGGAGGAGGGCCTACAGAAAAAACCCGAACCGCCGCATATTTCCAGTGCGCTCCTTGGAATCAATTCCGTCGTCACTTTCCCACTCTCTCTCAATCTCTCCTCCCATTTGTCATCTTCTCTCCATTTTCCCATGAACTCTGATCGATCGTTCTAAAAGTAGGGCACAACACAAAACCCCAACCCCTACCTGATACCCGGAAACGATGCCGCTCTTCGTCTCCGACGAGGACTTCTCCCGCCACGGCAACGACGCCGTCTGGGTGGCGGACAAGGCCGACGCCTATATTCGGGACCTGTACAAGGAGCTTGAGACCGTCAGGGCCCAGAACGACGCCGCTTCCATCACGGCCGAACAGACCTGCTCCCTCTTCGAGCAGAAGTACCTTTCCATCGCCGACGAATTCTCCAAGCTCGAGTCTCAATACGCGCAGCTTCAGTCCTCCCTCGACAGCCGCCTCTCCGAGGTCGCCGAGCTCCAGTCGCAGAAGCACCAGCTCCATCTCCAATCCGTACGAAGCTCGATATTGCTTTAATTTCTGTGTTCATTCTGTTGCTTTCTGTTTTAGAGTTTGCTTAATCAAATGCTTGTGTTTGTTAGTGTTTTTGGGGAGGTTGTTATAGTTATAGCCTACAATTCTATGCTTGTTTGGTTTTAGTTTTCGGTTTTCGATTTTTTGTACGTATGAATATATTTTGATCTTGGTGTATTGATGCGTTCGGTCGTGCGTTGCTGTGTGTGCAGATTGGGAAGGATGGGGAGACAGAGAGGATTAAGGCGGAGGTGTCGGAATTGCACAAATCGAAGAGGCAGTTGATAGAGTTGGTGGAGCAAAAGGACTTGGAAATTAGTGAAAAGAACGCCACCATCAAGTCCTATATCGACAGGATTGTAAGATTTCCTGCATTTTCCTATTTAGCATTTCCGAGGTGAAACCATGTCCGCCATACATTTAGTGACATTTTCGCCTCCTCTTTGTTGATTCTGAAGGTATTATCTTCTGACAATGCTGCTCAAAGGGAGGCCCGTTTGAGCGAAGCGGAGGCAGAATTAGCACGTACCAAGGCTGCATGTACTCGTCTATCACAGGTCAGTCCAAGTAAAATTTATTTATAGTTCACGTCAAGAAATGAAACTTATTTTTAGTTCACTATTCCACTATCTCTTATGCTGCTACATTTTAGTTAGATAGTTGCTCACCATTGGAAAATAATGTTATCTTTCAACATCTTCTGGAGCGTAAATGTGTTTACCGTGCCAAATCCTATAATTTACAGGAGAAAGAACTTATTGAGAGGCATAATGTCTGGCTTAATGATGAGTTAACAGAGAAAGTTAACAGTCTCGTTCGGCTGCGTAGAACGCATGCTGATGTTGAGGCAGATTTGTCTTCTAAACTTGCAGATGTAAGTGTAATTTTCATTATGAAAATAGATTCTCTATGTTTTATGTGAGCATCTATAAAGCATGATGTTGAGGCAGATTTGTCTGACATGGACATAGCATTTGTCTGTGTAAGCATGCCTGTGAAGTATACACATACATTTATGTATTTATTTCTTTGCTTGATTTTTAACATTTCCAGGTTGAGAGACAATTCAATGATTGCTCTAGCTCTTTAAAATGGCACAAGCAAAGAGTGGGGGAATTAGGCGACAGGCTGACGTCTTTACAGGAGGTGGGGATATATTCCTTTTGGTGTTCTAATATATGTTTTGTGTGGTTTGTCAGTTATGTTTTAACTGACATGTTCATACTTATTTCACACTTATAGGAGCTCCACTCATCTAAAGATGCTGCTGCAGCCAATGAAGAGCGATTAACCGCTGAACTCTCAACAGTGAGTTCCTTGAAATATCTTTTATATTAAAATTTATTTTATTTAGCCATATGTTCGACTGGAGTCGTTGTGAATTGAGTTTTATATGTTATTAGTTAATAAAGTACTAGTAACTTGTTTTCTGCTTTGAGAATGTGGAGGATGAGTTAGT